TCACTATACCCCACTCCCTCTAACATGTAAACTCACTGAGCAGGGCCCCCAATCCCTCTGTTACTGTGTCACTATACCCCACTCCCTCTAACATGTAAACTCACTGAGCAGGCCCTCAATCCCTCTGTTACTGTGTCACTATACCCCACTCCCTCTAACATGTAAACTCACTGAGCAGGCCCTCAATCCCTCTGTTACTGTGTCACTATACCCCACTCCCTCTAACATGTAAACTGACTGAGCAGGCCCCTCAATCCCTCTGTTACTGTGTCACTATACCCCACTCCCTCTAACATGTAAACTCACTGAGCAGGGCCCTCAATCCCTCTGTTACTGTGTCACTATACCCCACTCCCTCTAACATGTAAACTCACTGAGCAGGCCCCTCAATCCCTCTGTTACTGTGTCACTATACCCCACTCCCTCTAACATGTAACCTCACTGAGCAGGCCCTCAATCCCTCTGTTACTGTGTCACTATACCCCACTCCCTCCAACATGTAAACTCACTGAGCAGGCCCTCAATCCCTCTGTTACTGTGTCACTACACCCCACTCCCTCTAGCATGTAAGCTCACTGAGCAGGGCCTCAATCCCTCTGTTACTGTGTCACTATACTCCACTCCCTCTAACATGTAAACTCACTGAGCAGGCCCTCAATCCCTCTGTTACTGTGTTACTATACCCCACTCCCTCTAACATGTGACCTCACTGAGCAGGGCCCTCAATCCCTCTGTTACTGTGTCACCATACCCCACTCCCTCTAGCATGTAAACTCACTGAGCAGGCCCTCAATCCCTCTGTTACTGTGTCACTATACCCCACTCCCTCTAACATGTAAACTCACTGAGCAGGCCCTCAATCCCTCTGATACTGCCACTATACCCCACTCCCTCTAACATGTAAACTCACTGAGCGGGCCCTCAATCCTACTGTTACTGTGTCACTATACCCCACTCCCTCTAACATGTAAACTCACTGAGCTGGCCCTCAATCCCTCTGTTACTGTGTCACTATACCCCACTCCCTCTAACATGTAAACTCACTGAGCAGGCCCTCAATCCCTCTGTTACTGTGTCACTATACCCCACTCCCTCTAACATGTAAACTCACTGAGCAGGCCCTCAATCCCTCTGTTACTGTGTCACTATACCCCACTCCCTCTAACATGTAAACTCACTGAGCAGGCCCCCAATCCCTCTGTTACTGTGTCCACTATACCCCTCCCTCTAACATGTAAACTCACTATGAGCAGGCCCTCAATCCCTCTGTTACTGTGTCACTATACCCCACTCCCTCTAACACATGCCAAACTCACTGAGCAGGCCCTCAATCCACCTCTGTTACTGTCACTTTACCCCACTCCCTCTAACATGTAAACTCACTGAGCAGGGCCCTCAATCCCTCTGTTACTGTGTCACTATACCCCACTCCCTCTAACATGTAAGCTCACTGAGCAGGGCCCTCAATCCCTCTGTTACTGTATCACTATACCCCACTCCCTCTAACATGTAAGCTCATCGAGCAGGGCCCTCAATCCCTCTGTTACTGTACGTCAGTGGTCTGATCTCAATTATGTGTCTGTTAGTCCACCCACTGTACAGCGCTACGGAATTTGTTGGCGCTATATAAATAATAAAATAAAAATAATAATAATTGCGAGGGGTACAGTGTGTGTGTGTAATTGTGAAAGGTACAGTGTGTGTAATTGTGAGGGGTACAGTGTGTGTGTGTGTGTGATTGTGAGGGATGCAGTGTGTATGATTGCGAGGGGTGCACTGTTATGGGGATGGAGGGGCAGCGACAGGGGTAGAGGGGGTGGAGGGAACTTGGCAACAGAAGGTTGGGGGAGTAGAGGGGGCTCAGCGACAGGAGTTGGGGGTAGAGGACAGCTTAACTAGGGTTAGGGGCAGTGATGAAGGGTTGGGGTAGAGGGGCAGTGACAGGGTGTGGGGGGTGAAGAGGCAGTGAGAGGGGTAATGGGGGTGGAGGGTCAGTGACAGGGGTTGGGGGTGGAGGGGCAGTGACAGGGTTTGGGAGTAGAGGGGCAGTAACAGGGGGTAGGGGGATGGAGTGGCATTGACAGAGGGTAGGAGGGGTGGAGGGGCAGTGAGTGACAGGGGGAAAGGGGGAGTGGAGGGGAGGCAGTGACAGGGGAAGAGGGGTGGAGGGGCAGTGACAGGGAAAGGGGGTGGAGGGGGGCGATGCCAAGGGGAAAGGGGTGGAGGGGGCAGTGACAGGAGGCTAAGGGGTGGAGGGGCAGAGACAAGGGTAGGGAGGGGTGGAGGGGCAGTGACAGAGTTAGGGGGGTGGAGGGGCAGTGACAGGGGTTGGGGGGGTAGAGGGGCAGTGACAGGGGTTAGGGGGGTGGAGGGGCATTGACAGGGGGTAGGGGGGTGGAGGGGCAGTGAGTGACAGGGGGCAGAGGGTTTAAATACCTTCCCTGGTGGTCCAGTGGGCGCCCTCTCTCTTCAGTCTGCAGCTATGCCGGGAGTGAGCTGCAGACCACATGGTGAGTCTCGCGATCTCCAGTCAGTCAGAGCGTTGCCGAGGTAACCCACGGCAACACTCTGACAGGCTGGAGATCGCGAGACACTTCAGTCTGCAGCTCATTCCCAGCGTAGCTGCAGACTGAGGCTGGATCTCCGTCAGGGCAGACTGACAGGAGGGGCCTCACACCCGGCGGCATTGTGGGCAAGCCGCCGGGCCCCCTCCTGTGTCGTTTCCTCGGTCATAGACCGAGGACCCGACATGTTAGTCTGCCCTTAGGCAGTGCAGCACGGAGGT